GGATGACTTGAAACGGGAAGTGAAGGCTAAAGAAGCCGAGATTCAAAGCTTGAAGGAGAAGCTCAAAACGGCGACGTCTTTAGCTCATTCCAACAGTGGAAAGAAAGGGAAGTCAAAGCGAAAAGTGAGCTGCAGCACTCAAGGTCAAGCTCAAGGTACAACCTTTTTCCTTCACCGTTTAATTATTGTCTTACGCTTTTGTCCTTCAAGCTTAGTCTACGATTCAGGGGTCTTTTTGTAATTCCATCGTGCAGTATACTGATTTATACGCATCACTGCCAATTTAGTGTGGACTATAGTAATTTTTCCCATTTTTTATGTTTAATTAGATTCTCAAAGTCCTCTCAAGATAATTTAGTTAATACTTATTTTAGTTATCAAATATACTAATTTTATTCAAATTAATCTTTAATTATAGTGATTATCTAATTTAATCATAAATTATAGTAATTTTGTTAATTTAGTTTTAAACAACTTGTTTGTGTTTAATTAGATCATCGATGACATGTGTTCAGATAACATGTAGTGATCTTGTGCTCAGATGGCATGTAGTGATTTTTTTATGTGGAAGATCATGAGATCGAACTTTAGTGAATATGTTGTTGACTCTTTGTGTTTTATTAAGTTAAGAAAGTATGTCACAGATATTACAATGTAATCAGTAGCATTTTGCTCAATTGAGTCTCTCTTTAAGTCGGCTTGATAGTCTCACCTTAATAATATCCCATTTAGTCATCATTTATACTAATTTTATCTAAATTAATCTTCAACTATAGGGTTTTACTCGATTTAGTCATGGATTATATTAATTTTTTATTTAGTCTTTTGATTCTATCCGTCAATAATTCAATTTGATAAAATCATTAAAAAATCAAATTAAATAAAAAGAGTTATTTTGGTCTAAATTGAAAAAAAAAAAAAATTATAGTCTAGCTAGGATTAAATTGCGTATTAGCTAAAATTATGTTAAACTTCCCGGTGACTGCAGTGGCGGTGCCACCGGCGCCGGAGCTGTTCGAGAACACAATGGGTATGGTAAAAGAAGCTTCGAAATCCTTCACGGCGTTACTCCTGTCGCTGATGCGGTCGGCGCACTGGGACATAGCAGCCGCCGTGAGATCCATCGAAGCCGCCTCCTTCGCCGCCGCCGCCGCCGCAGACGCAGTAGTCGGGACCAACCACGCAAAGTACGCACTGGAGTCGTACGTGAGCCGCAAGATGTTCCAAGGGTTCGACCACGAGACGTTCTACATGGACGGCAGCCTCTCCTCCCTCCTCCACCCGGACCAGTACCGGCGCGAGTGTTTCACGCAGTACCGCGACATGAAAGCCATGGATCCGGTGGAGCTCCTGGGGATACTCCCAACCTGCAGCTTCGGGAGCTTCTGCTTCAAGAAATTCCTCGCGATCGTCCACCCCAAGATGGAGGAGTCTCTGTTCGGAGATCTGGAGCAGCGGCGCCAGGTTCTCGCCGGAAACCACCCCAGGACTCAATTCTACGGGGAGTTCTTGGAGCTGGCCAAGGCGGTGTGGCTGCTGCACTTGTTGGCGTTTTCTCTTGAGCCGCCGCCGAGCCATTTCGAGGCGAGTAGCGGATCGGAGTTTCATCCGCAGTACATGGAGAGCGTGGTGAAGAGCTCCGTCGCCGGCGGGATGGGAGGGAGAATGGGTATGGGTATGGCCATGGTTGTTGCGTTTGCCGTCAGCCCTGGGTTTAAGCTCGCAAATGGTTCTGTTATTAAGGCTAGAGTTTATCTGGCTCCCAAAACTGGGTTTTGATTTTTGACTCAATGGTCTTTTAAAAGCTTTTGTGTTTTCACTTTTTTTTTTCCCCCTTATTTTGCTTGTGGGCTGGATTGGCACATCACAACTTATTTGACATCATTACTTAGTTACTTGTTAACAAAATAAATATGTACTATTTTTGTTTATAATAAAGCATGGCTTCTTAATTTCATTCTGACTGACTAACAATAATGCTTGTGTACTTTATAAACTTATGACTGAGGTTACCGTGTGAGTGTTTGAATCTCACAACTAAATGGATGCCAGAAAGTCTTAGATTGAATCCGTGACTTAACATTAATCCGGCAAAGCTGGGATCGTCTAAGTTTTTTAATAATAATAATAATAATAATAATAATAATAATAATAACAATTACAATAACAATAACAAGGAATAAGGTTCAAATTGGCCACTGAACGTAACCTGAAAATGCAATTAGGCCACTGAACGAAAAAAAAAAGTGCAATTAGGCCACTGAACACTCCAAAAAGTGCAATTAGGCCACTGAACACTTCAAATGTATGCAATTTCACCGATTAGCAGGTTACCATTAATTTTAGCAGGTTACCTGCTTACGTGGCAGCTGAGGTGGCATTTTTAATAATTTTTAAATAATTTTAAATAAATTTTAATAATAGATTTTTAAAAAATTATTACAAAAAATAAACCCCGTCATTTTTTTAAAAAAAAAATTACATTTTTTAAAAAATTTATTATTAAAATTTATTAAAAAGTATTTAAAAATTATTAAAAATGTCAACTCATCTGCCACGTAAGCAAGTAACCTGCTAAAATTGATGGTAACCTGCTATTAGGTGAAATTGCATACATTTGGAGTGTTCAGTGGCCTAATTGCACTTTTTTCGTTCAGTGACCTAATTGCATTTTTAGGTTACGTTCAATGGCCAAATTGAACCTTAATACGTGTGTTAACTTTTTGTTAGATGATCAAAATATAAAATTGATTTTTAATTTTTGATCAAAATTTAAAAAAAAAAATGTTATACAATTACCAGTATTCTGTAATATAATTTTGAATTTTTCTTAATGAGAGATTTAATTTGATGTATTATAATATCCATTGCGCAGTACCATCACGTCGTAGCAGCTTCATACGGCGCTTGTTCGGATCTAGGATGCACAGCCGCACCCGGATCCTATAAAAGCTCTTCCATGCACCACCAAAATTGAATGGATCGGAGGTGACATAAGAGCCGATGTATTCTCCGATTTTGATAATGAAATCCGGAGAAGCTTACATGGCTGGCAGGCCGTGAACCTGCACCCAGAACGGAATGGAATCAAGCACGACATCCTCTGGCCTGGATCCTGGTGGAACTGGTGCGCATAGGAGCAAATTATTTTCGAATAACCATGGCCCATCGTCCATCACCCTCTGTAGGTCCTTCGAATGGGGGAATTGAAAGAGAAAGAGATCGTCCGCCAAGGAGACCGCATACATACCCATCACCGACCTCCATACCGACGCCAAGACGTGCTGCATGTGTTCAAACCGGATTGGACGATCAGTGAGCAGGCGCCCAACCAGGTTGTTAGGGATCGTCGGATCCGGCATCGCCCTCGCCTCAGGTGCATCGAGTCCTCCAGTGTCTTCTCCAATTGTTGAACGTCCATTTGGATCCACAATGTATGCCAGAAAATAAAAACGAAAAACAACTTTGCCAATACTCTACCCATCGGAATAAACAGATTATAAAAGCCCTAGATAGACTAGGGAGAGCACTCCTTCAGATCACGATCGAAGGAGGATTCCACGATCGGAAACAATGATCGGAAACACGATCGAAATCACTGAAGTTTGCGGAGCGTTTCCAAACCCACTTGGGTGAAGGGGCGAAGTACGGATAATTGGGTGGAAGAAAGATTGGATAGAGTCGTGGCTACGGTGGACTGGATGGACCTTCATGATGAGGTGGTAGTAAGGAATTTATATACTTCATCATCAGATCATTATGCCATTTTTGTGGATTTACACTCTGGACCAGTTCGGACAGCCCTGCGCTCTTTCCGTTTCGAATCCGCCTGGTTGCTTGAGGCGGGTTGTGCAAAAATTGTGGAGGATGAATTGTGGTAATCGACTGTGGCAGTGGGGCGGGGAGTACCATCGACAATTTGGAGCCCGTAGCAAGATCTTACGCCAAACACTTAATGATTTAAAAGAGAGTCGCGCACCTTAGGCCGTAGCTACTTTTCTGAAGGCGGAGAAAGTGTTGGGGACCATCATGCAAGCTGAGGAAATTTTCTGGAAATAGCGGTGCAACTCTGGTTGAAACATGGCGATGCGAACACGAAATACTTCCACAAGACGGCTTCGGCTCGGCGCAAACAAAATCTTCTGTCTCGAGTCAAAGACCATAATGGTGACTAGACCGAGGGGGAGGAGATGAAAGCAGCGATACTCAGGTACTATGAACATATTTTTTGTGCTGGCACTTGTGATGCAAACTTGTTTGGTCGGGTACGTGAGAGGGTGACAACCGAGATGCGAATCTCCATGTCACAACCTTTCACCATTGAAGATGTTAAGTCAGCTCTGTTTGATATGAAGCCAGAAAAGGCGCCGGGCCTGGACGGTATGTCCCCGGCCTTTTTTCAGCACTTCTGGCCCATACTGGGTCATGACCTGTCTGTTTTCATTATTAATTGCGTAGAGAATAAACAGTTTCCATCGGGATTAAATGCTTCCAATGTTGTCTTGATCCCAAAGAAATCCGTGCCGGAAAAAGTGTTGGATCTTCGCCCGATTGCACTTTGTAACGTGGTGTACAAAGTGCTGGCAAAGATGCTTACCAATAGATTGAAAGGCTGCCTGAATCAGGTGGTTTCTCAATCGCAGAGTGCGTTTGTCCCTAACCGATTGCTCACTGATAACATTATAGTGGCTGGAGAAATAGGACATTATTTACGGAGAAAATCTGGGGGAGTCCAGGGGTGGGTTGCTCTTAAATTAGACATGGCCAAGGCTTACGATAGAATGGAATGGCCTTTTCTGGAGGGAATGTTGAGGGCGTTGGGTTTTGAGGGAGACTAGGTGGATTTGTTAATGCTGTGCGTCAATTCAGTGAGCTATTCGATCTTGGTAAACGGGGAGGTGGCGGGGCAAGTTCGTCCCACTCGGGGCATTCGCCAAGGGGACCCGCTATCACCATATCTTTTCATCATTTGTGCTGAGGGTTTTTCTACTCTCCTGCAAATGGCGGAGGAACGTGGGGACATTCATGGTGTGAGGGTGGCCCGGGGGCCTCCGGCCATCACTCACTTATTTTTCGCTGGTGATAGCTTACTTTTTTTCAGGGCTAATGAACGAGAAGCACTCAAAGTTAAAGAGTGCTTGGATGTTTATAGTTGGGCCTCGGGACAGCTTATTAATTTCGAAAAATCCAATGCAGTGTACAGCTCCAACACTCCCACACATATCCGGGCGGTAGTGTCTGAACTCATTGGGGTTCCTGAAGCGGCAGATTTGGGGCGGTATTTGGGACTTCCGTCGATGTTGGGACGTAACAAAACCGCTGTTTTTCGCTACATCGAAGGTAATGTTCATGCACGGATTGGGACATGGCAGAATAAACTCCTTTCCCGTTCCGGCAAGGAGGTCCTACTTAAGAGCATAGCACAAGCCTTACCAATTTTCACTATGTCGGTTTTCTTGCTTCCTTTGCGAGTCTGCGACACTTTGGAGAAATTATACAACCGCTTTTGGTGGGGTGGGGGAGGACCGGACAGACAAGGGATACATTGGCTTAGCTGGGGAAGATTGTGCATTCCAAAGTCGAGGGGCGGACTAGGCTTCAAAAAACTGCATGAATTCAACATTGCCCTTCTGGCTAAACAAGGATGGAGGATATTAATCCATCCCGAGTCCTTAGTTAGTCGGCTGTTAAAGGCGCGGTATTTTCCCACGAAGGACTTTATGGATGCACAGTTGGGGAGTAATCCGAGTTTTATATGGCGTAGCATCCATGCGGGGAGAAAGGTGCTCGATTTGGGAGTTGCCAGGCGTGTTGGGGACGGGATTGATATGAAAATTTGGGGTAGGGGTTGGCTAACGGATTCCTCGCATGTTAACTTACGTAGTCCTTGTGTGGAGTATTTGCAAGAGGCAAGGGTGCAGGGGCTTTTAGATGGACAGGGACATTGGGACTTAAATATTCTAAGGGACATCTTTTTAGAGGAGGACGTGCCCAGAATTTTGGCGACTCCAGTGAACAGTCAGTTCCGGGATAGTTGGCACTGGGTTGGCGACGTGCGTGGTTGCTATACGGTCAAAAATGGTTACCGACGCCTTACGGAGGAAGCAGATTCACAAATCACTTCCGACAGATTTCACGCTTAGAAGGCTTTATGGTCAACGCCGATTCCCCCGAAGGTAAAGAATTTCCTTTGGCAGTGTGCACGTAATATCTTACCTGTTCGTGACAACTTGCGGTCTAAGATGGTTTGGATTGGCGGCGGCTGCCCACTGTGTAGCTACCCGACTGAATCGCAGGAGCATCTTTTCTGTCATTGTGTGTTTGCAGGGATTGTCTGGGGCGGCAGGAATGTCCTACAGGGCCGGAATTTCTTCGACTTTCTATCGCATGTGCTCGGCAACGCGACGGTGGATGTTGCAATGCATGCGGCTGCAGTTCTCTGGGTTATTTGGTCCACACGCAATGATGTGGTGTGGAACGATAAACGCCCACCGGGACCCGAAGTTCGGGAACAGGTTGCAAGGTTTCTGGAGAGTTGGAAGGATATCTACATTAAAACTCCTTCTGGCCCAACCGTAGCAATTACTAGAAGCTGGATCCCACCTCCAAGAAATACTGTTAAATGTAATGTTGATGCAGCGTTGTTCGGGGCAAGCGCTAGCTTTGGCATCGTCGTTCGGGACCATGGGAGGCATTTCATTGCGGCGAAGAGCGGATGGTTGAATGATGTGGTCGATCCCTATATGGCTGAAGCGATTGGTGTAAGGGAAGCATATACTTGGCTCAAATCTCAGGATCACAGTTCCATTATTTTAGAGTCCGATTGTTTAAATTTTTGTACTGCTTTTAATTCTGTTAATTCTGATTGTTCGTATGTTGGTCTAGTTGTGAAGCAATGCGTGTCGATTGCTAGAGACATGGGGACAGTGAGAGTCTCCCATGTGAAGAGATCAGCGAACCGTGTGGCTCATGAGTTAGCTCGGGCGACCGTTTCTTTGTCTGACTCTGGTGTGTGGAATGTTATCCCACCTGATTGTATTGCGAATGTTTTAACCCAGGAATGAAAGTTTTCGACGTTTTACTAAAAAAAAAAAAAACAATAACAATAACAATAACAATAACAATAATACGTGTGTTAACTTTTTGTTAGATGATCAAAATATAAAATTGATTTTTAATTTTTGATCAAAATTTAAAAAAAAAAAATGTTATACAATTACTAGTATTCTGTACTATAATTTTGAATTTTTCTTAATGAGAGATTTAATTTGATGTATTATAATATCAAAATAAATAATAAGTAAATAAGAAATTGAAGGCATGCTTGGAGGGGCGCACATCAACAACACAACCATTAAGATTCGATCTCATAACCTCTCACATAAGAGAGGTCACTACATACAATCTAAGCACAAGTTGCTTGAATCCTTTTTATATATATATATAGTATATGTATATCTATCCGTATAACGGTATAAGTAAATAAAATGCATATATTCTAATTAATGATAAAGTGACTTAATTGGTAGGAATGTAGGAAATAAAATGCATATATTCTAATTAATGATAAAGTGACTTAGTTGGTAGGAATGTAGGATACATGCGCCTTATAGCAAAGGTTACAGTTTGTGGAGAGTGGAGACCCATTGGGTGCAATTTGGATATATTTTCCCCAACACTATATTAAATAAGAGTAATTTTTTAATAAGAAAATATCATTTTTAATTCATTGACTATAATATATGTATCAATTTAGTCCTTGACTATTACAATTTTTAATTTTAGTGTATGACTATTCAATTTGTATCACATTTGGTCTTTGACTATTAACATTTTCAAATTAGGTGCATGATTATTCAATTTGTATCACATTTGATCCAGCCGTTAAATTTTCTGGTCAAAATTCGAGCCAAGTCACTGATGACGGGCTAATTTATTTAATTTTTATTTTAAAATTATTTTAATAATTTTTAAATTAAAAAACTTTAAAAATAAAAAATAAAAAACGATAGCCACCTCACCCCCTCCTCATTCGTCTCTGTCGGAGACGAAGTAAGAAAGAGGTGGGGTGGCCGACGTTCTCTTTCTCTCCATTCTTCCTTTGTCTCCGCCGGAGACGAAGAATGGGAGAAAGAGAACGCCGGCCACCCCCTCCTCCTTCGTCTTAGCCGGAAACGAAGACGAAGGAGGAGGGTGGGGGCATTTTTTTCATTTTATTTTTATTTTTATTTTTAAGTTTTTTAATTAAATAAATTAGTCAGTCACCGGCGACTTAGTCGGAATTTTGACTAGAAAATTTAACGGCAGAACCAAATGTGATACAAATTGAATAATCATGCACCTAATTTGAAAATGTTAATAGTCAAGGACCAAATGTAATACAAATTGAATAGTCATGCACCAAATTAAATTGAAAATTTTAATAGTCTAGGATTAAAACTGATACATGTATTATAGTCGAGGGACTAAAAATAATATTTTCTCTCTATTTTTTTAATACTATTCTTCCAAAAGGTTGAACCCTAACCCGACAGAGCATTTGGGAGGATGTAAATCATGGTAACTCAACTGAACATGAACCACAGAGGCTAGACCGTGCTCACTGCGCACAAGGAACCCCCCTCACTTTGAGAGGTTGCTCCCACTCTGCCGCTGGTGAGACTCGATCCCTGGTCATTTTTTTAATACTATTGATTCTATTACAAGATAGTATATGTTCTATACTTTCTCTAACTAATGCAGTCCAAAGAATCATTTACAAGGTAGTATCTGTTCTATATTTTTCTCTAACTAATTCAGTCCAAAGAGTCAATATCCCACCGCCGGTGGTCGATCCTGTGACCCTCTCTCAAAGGAAGCCACAGAGGTGTCATCTGAGCACAAGATGTTTGGCATAATTGAGTAATTTAGTACTTGTATTTATAACAAGTGTTATTTGATTGTGGTTTATAATGCGGTTTCTATTCAAACCATTTTATCAAATTAACTTAATTATACTTCATATTTTATTATGAATATTTTAATGTGTTTTGAAGTATTTTGATTTCGTGCTCCCAATTACGATGATTTTTAGCTTCGTCCTTGCTTGTAAGTTTTGTTTATAAATTTTTATTAATAATTAATTTATTATTTATTACTTATATATTATTTTATTTTATTTTATTTGGAAAAAAACTGAGGGGGACACCCAAATTACAAACTAGCTTTGTTCGTTGGCCCTAGTCTTTTGTTAGACGTATACGCCAGGGAACCTCGCTCCGCGTTGATCATCCCAAACAAATTCCCAGATATCATACGCAGGATCATCCCAAATAACTAGAAGTTTGAAATGTGTTGGTAAAAGACTCTCTCTCTTGTACTAAAGATAAAAATTAAATTAATGTCATTTTAAACTATTTTTTGAAACTCTAGTGTTCTTGATTAATGTCACTTTGAATGCTAATTTGCAAAATTTTTAGTATTCTTCCTTTTTTAAGTTCATATTTTTCGTTGTAATACATTGTATGCTATGAAATTAACGTTTCAATGCTCCCAGCACTATCAAGAAAAAGCAAATTGATTTTAAGAAAATTATTTTTGTGGCTTTGAATTATTTTCTTGAGTTACTATGATGTGATTATTTCAGGAAATATTTTTTAAATAAAATTTTCCATACACATAAGTTTAAACTTTGAACTCTCAACCCATTCTTAAATAACTCAACTCCTTTATAACTTGAATTAACATATTTTTGGGTATCCTTTCTCATTTATAATGTAGGTATTAAAGTTATTAAAATTTGAACCATAAACTTAAGGGTCCATTGATCAATGCTCATACCTTGGAGATTGATGGATCTCTCAACGCTGCATTATGGTTACGTTACTTCATCCATCGTGTGATTGCGGTAAGTGAAGCATGCTTAACCACAGAGTTCTTTGGTTATTTGGTTGTCATATCTTACTTAAAACCAATTGGTGATAAGTAGGTGGACATTAATCATTTAACCAAATCCTTCCATGGTAAGCCACAACATCACTTCTCGAATCGAGCAGAGGTTGAACTCGACCAACACGACTGACGCCCAATAATCTCCCTCCTAGCACCTATCGTAACCTTTGATCACCAACCCAGTTGCTAGAAATTGAGTAAAAATAAACAATTAAATTTGAATTTCAATAGCATTTGAATGGTACAAACAGGGGGAAATAAAACTCTTAAAATGTGTATTTATATTTATTGGATAACGTAAGTAAGTATTCAAAGAGTCAAGATGGCTGAGTTGGTCTAAGGCGCCAGTTTCAGGTACTGGTCCGAAAGGGCATGGGTTCAAATCCCATTCTTGACATTTTCTTTATTATTCTTGATGCTTACTAAAACACCAAGAAATCCAAGCACAGCAATCCGCTAAGAAGAGCAGCAATGTTGAGAATGTCACAACACCAATATTGTTTAGGATTCCATGCCTAATCCTGCAACAAAACCTTGCCAAAGCAAGCAGTATTCACTGTCAAACACTGGAAAACTGTCCATTTCTGAATACTTTTGAGCAACAGATTATCTTATTAGATTTGGCCGATAATTGATGGGGAACAAAATTACTAATGAATATAAATTTCTCATGTTGGACCCAAAAGAATTTGGGAAAAAAGAATTCACACAAAAACAATAAATAAATCAGAAGTCTAATACAAAATACAGGATCATATCTTCTTTTGAGCCCCAGTGAAAACAGGTCAAGAGTGGTTCCCCACATAACCCTGGGATGACTCAAAGTCTAACCTATTGGCCACAGATACGGGTGCTTATATACTGAGTACACCTTGTCAGGGTTTTCACCCAAGTAAATTAACTTCAGAAAAAAAGGACAAAAAAGTGTTGGTTTTAACATAATTTCTCCATCACTTTCTTCTCCTTCACTCGATGAGATTCCATATCCAATCACCCCATCACTCGATTGGCTTTAACAAAAGTGTTGATTTATTGACATAATGTTGTTTTTCAGAAAACCAGAGATTTAATTTCTCTGTATTGAATGAGATGGATGAGAAGCATACTTTGATTTCAAATCATCAACACAGCAAATGATAGTAATCCAAATTGAATACTACCCAAGTTCCTCAACTTCGAATTTAAGGCCGGGAAAACATTGTTAGTCTACCCCCATGCTTCTAATTTAGCAAACCCATCCTAACAAGCTTACTGCTAATTGACGAAAAAGACAATATCTGATCCAAAATTCTAGCTAAGCATGAACACTTGAAATATGGTAACAATCATTTCCAATACTACGGCTCAAACCGAATACTAACCTCTTCATCATGTGAATCACACCATGGTGGAGAGATGCTTGCTCTGATTCTGAAGATGTGAAGCAAATAAAAAGAAAAATTCACTTAGACGGGTAATTTTGAAGAGGCAAACTAATGATAGAGTTAATAATAAGGTAATCAAACAAGAATAATGAGATTAAACCAAACCCTAATTGTTCCTTACAGTAGAGGCTTGCGGAAGATCATCGGTGAGAAAGGGGAATAATTGGCAGCTTAATATGATATTCTTGAGGCGAAGAGTGCTGCTGAGGAAGATCCTCGTGGAATTCAGGGGATCCAACAGGAGAGAAATCAGGACTGCTCATCATCATCATCTTCGTCGTCAAGCATGGCCGATGGGGATGTAAATGAAATAAGAACGCTGTTGTTGTCCCACATCGGATACTTCTAAGCTTTTAATAGGGTTTATGTATGTTTTTTTCAAGCCGGTGGGTGTGTTCGTAGAAAGGAGAGATGGTTGGCATCTCCCCTGACAGGGACGGGAACGGCCTTCGGGCTTTTCCTTGTTAGCAAACACATCGGTTAAGGCAACCCACTTCGGTGGATCTATAACCCAATTTTTTTTTGCTCCTTCGAGTCCCAACGTAACCCATTTGCAACGATACTCAATTGGCCCAAACCCACAAATGAAACAACTTCGAGGATTTTTGGGTTTAACTAGTTATTATAAGCGATTAGTTCGGAGTTATGTCCATATTAGACCATCTTTAATTCTTCCCACCAAATTTTATACCAAAAGAAATATTTCCAACATATTCTTACTCTAAATTTTTTTTTTTTTTTTTTATCTCCAATTCATACACCAAATTTATTCCTACACTAAAACAATTTATATTCTCATAAATTAAAAGTTTATTTTTATACTTTTATTATTTTAATAGAGTTAATTCTCAAAATAGTCCTTTGACTATGACATTTTCTCAGATTGATACCTTGACTTTTAATTTCGTCAAAGTGGTCCTCCAACTTTTGAATTTTAAGCCAAAATGGTCCTCCATTAGCTTTGGCGTTAAGTTGGTGTTAAAATGAATGGTAAAACTGGAAATTTAGGTTTTGCACTCCAATTTAAAGCAATTTGTGATTCCTTTTAACAATTTGCGCTCATATTTCTTCAAATTAGGTTTTTGCTCTCCTAAATCTGCAATCAAAATGTGGGATAATCAACTAGAAGGCCATAAATCTTTACATTGGGAAGTTTGTGGATAATCAACTGCAGGAGGATTGTGACTGGTTAAGTTTTGAAAGTTGAAGGATTATGGGTGGTTAGCTTGGATGGTAGCAATTTGAAAGTTGAAGAACCATGAGTGGTCAATTTAAAAGTTTAAGACTAAACGTGGCAAAACCACTATATTCAGAGGATCCTATATGGCATTAACTCAATTAGGAATAAATAAAGGCCATGTTTGGTAAATGGTTGTTAACTGATGGCTGTTAACTGATCGTTGTTAGTTGTTAGCTGATTTGATTAATTAGAGGCATAACTAGTTAATAACATTAACTGATTATAGAAATGTGTTTGGTAAATTAGCTGTTAGCTGTTAGTTGTTAGTTGTTCGATATAATTTCTTTTCTCAAAAAGCTAATTGAAAAAGTTGTTTTGAGTAACTTTTTGAATTTTAGCATTTTGGAGTACAAAAAACTAATTAACCAAACACTTATATTGATTTTTAAACCATGTCAAATAAGCTAAAATTGAACTATAGACTAACTATTTTACCAAACAGGGCCAAAATGTAGACACTTACAGACTTACAAGCTGCAAATATGCAGTTTCACACTTTCAATTTTTAACTTTCATTGTTAAGCTTCCCAAAGACATTTATAAAATTGTTAACACTTAAAAAGTTAAAGATTTTAATTGATAGAGCTTTGAATAACAAGTGACATATTGAATGACTATGTACTATGTAATATGTTAGTTGTTAAACATAGCAAGTTAATAGCATACCATTACAACTTCTAAGAGACTATAAGTGCAACAAAACCATAACCTCAAAAAATATCGTTAGATATATTAAATAAACAAAAACAATAATCAAGCAAGTTGCAACCATTTTATTTATCAAGTATTTTGATTCAAGTCATTGACAAGCACATCTATGATATAAAATACAAATATATGTGCAAAAAATTTAACAAATTATAATTTATTTCACAAATAATGTATATGAAGTTAAGAAAAAATAAAATACACTATTACATTTTTCTATGTTCACAAAAAAAATGCAATCTTCCTCATATCATCTCCAACGGGCCTCTATTCCACCAAAAAAAAATAAAAAATAAAAAATAAAAAATTCAGCTCCAACGGGACGCTATTTCACCAAATCTGTATAAGTTTTTTTTTCCCTTCATTTTGACCCATCTTTTTTGTTTAATTCCTTTTGTGTTTTGTTTTTTTGTTTTAATATATTTGTATATTTTGTTAAATTGTTGGCTATAAATTTTATATTATTTAAAATGAATTATATCATTTGAAAGATCTCATCAAGACGATTAAAATAAGTCTAATATTGAACATAGATTAATTAAAAATGAAAACACATGCACTGGACTTGGAAAAAACTGTCCAACAGCTTGGGCCGGACAATATGCTGGGCGTAGTCGAGAACCAACTATTGTTCTCGAGGCCGTAGCTGATTATGATTTATGGATTTGGCATGCACATTTTGGTTTGCCGGGGTCGAATAATGATATTAATGTGTTGGAGGCATCACATTTGTTTGCAAACATTGCAAATGGTACGACACCTCCTGCTCATTATGTTATTCAAAGGAAAGTGTACGATACAGGATATTATTTAGCTGATGGGAAATATCCGAAATGGTCAACCCTGGTACAAACTATTCATCAGCCCCTAGGACCAAAGAAAAAGTTATTTGCAATGATGCAAGAAGCATGTAGAAAGGATGTAGAACGTGCATTTGGGGTCCTTCAATCAAGATTTGCAATAGTCAAGGGACCAGTACGTTTTTGGGATAAACATGTATTGCATGATATAATGACATCATGCATCATAATGCATAATATGATAATTGAAGATGAACGTGATGAGCAAGTCAATATACAAAGTTGGAGAGAAGCACCGGCGACTGAGGTTGATATATGTAGAGATGAAAGAATTGTCTTTGAAGAGTTTCTTGCTCGACATAGGCAAATCAAAAATAAAGAAGTGCATTATGCGCTTCATGATGCATTGATCGAGCATATGTGGGAACATTAAGGTAATTCTGTCAATTAAATGTAGCGGATGTTCTATGAGTTATTATTGTGGAATAAAATAATATTTCCATTATAATTATATTGTATTCTTTTTTATTTTTATATATTTACATATTTTGTTAAATATTAAACATAAATTGTATATTATTAAAATAAAATTATATCATTTGAAAGATCTTATCAAGACGATTAAAACAAAACTAATATTAAATATAATTTAATTAAAAATAAAATTACATAAAATATAATTAAAGTCTAATTTATTAAATTACAACTATTAGTTTTGTAAAAAGAATAAAAGTGTAAATATAAACTTTATGAGGGTGTAGGAATAAAATTTGGTGTAATGGGTTGGAGATAGAAAAAATTTGGTGTAAGAATATGCTGAAAATATTCCTTTTTGGTGTAAAACTTGGTGCAGAATTTGGTGCAATGGTTGGAGATGGTCTCAACACTAATTGGTTTTTTGTTAAGTCGAATCTAATCTTGAGCACAAATTAGTGCTTCCACCATTTTTGGTGTTAAGCTACTTCGGAAGTCATCTAGTACCCTTCCACCAGTGCTAAAGGTAGATTCAGATGCAACTGAAGAAATTGGGATAGCTAGAACATTCCGTGCCATTTCAGCCAATATAGGAAATCTTGGTTGATTAACCTTCCAAGAATATCAAAAGATTGTTCATCTTCTGTATCTTCCTTTAAATATTTGTCTAATTATATTTTTATGAAATAAGATGCGTCGCTTCTTCCAAACGCAAGTTTTGAAAATAAATCCATTAACTTCAGATGCATCCAATTCAGTGATCTTCTTAAGGCCTGAAGTTTCAATTTCTTCAAGGATATCATATCCTGACCCTAGCGGTGCCTCAAGTGTAACCGCTTTGTTCTTAATGAACATTGTTTTATTCCTACAAAAATGATGATTTGTTGACAAAAAATTTCGATGATTGTCAAACCACAACTACTTACCATTATGTTTTAAGGTGAATGCGTCTAATTTCCTAACAAAGTGTAAGTGCATTATTTTGTCGATTTAGAGACTTCATTATAACTTTTATAGTTATGGAACTTACCTGCACTGTTTGTATATTTAGGAGACCAATTTAATTCTTTTTTAGATGTATCAAATTATCTAAAAACCAAAGTGTCGTACATTGTGATTTGATGACATCTGATATGTTATATTTGCCCAACATGGTGCTTGTCGTGGTCTTGCTATGGTCGGCTCCGAACCGCCGAGTGCCGTTCTCCTCTGCCCGACCACTACCTTTCCCGACCATCATCATTCCCCATCGGCCCTTCCCGGGCGAGTTCCACATGCATATTTTTCCAAGGAATCTATACGTGTCAAAGACACGTATTGCCTATGAGCTCATCCGATGGGCGCTAGACACGTGCCCACCATGTTGGCAGCCCGGGTTGATGTTCCCTCCTTTGCGCCTATAAATACTTAGATTTATTACGGTAATGGGGGACTTTTTGACCTACCCAAAAATTCAGGCACCTGCTCAGTAGCTCCCGACCCATTGTCGTTAGACTCTGAGTAGTGGTGACCGTATACAGGTGCTGTACATACAAGCGCGTATTAATACTATCAACATCGTTGTGACCCTTTCAAATGAAAAGTCAAATGTTTAAGTCTCATTTCAATAAAAAATGTTGACATATCATGTTGTTGAACATATATTAAGAATATGTTAGATTATACGGAGTATTATTTAAAAAAAAAAAAAAAAAAAAGCATACAAGAAAATACTCCAAACATACTCCGCAAGTCCTGAATAAATAATACTAATCCGTAATACACGACTTTATGGCGGGAGAAATGGCAAATTCCCAAACTCATTTCGGGTCCCGCCAAATCCGAATTTCCGAGCCCTAAAATTCTCTAGCGCTCTTCCAATCCGCTTTATAAAAACCCGAAACCCGCGTTTTCCTCTCATTTTTTCCCACTCATTTTCGCTTCCCTCATCTTTCTTTCGTTTTCAAACCCTAAACCCAAGTTTGCCCGCGAGCACCCCAGGAATTTTCCGGCGAGAAAATGTTGGAACTTCGTCTTGTTCAGGGGAGTCTCCTCAAGAAGGTGATGGATGCGATCAAGGACTTGGTTAACGATGCCAACTTCGATTGCTCCGCCACTGGCTTCTCGCTTCAGGCCATGGACTCCAGTCACGTCGCGCTGGTCGCTCTCTTGCTCAGATCTGAAGGGTTCGAACACTACCGCTGCGACCGCAACATCTCCATGGGGATGAACCTCAACAACATGGCCAAGATGCTGAAGTGCGCCGGAAATGATGACATCATCACTATCAAGGCCGACGACGGCAGTGACACTGTCACTTTCATGTTTGAAAGCCCCAGTAAGTCTTGAAGATTTAAGTAAATTTTTGGATCTTTTTGTTGTGTTTCGAGATTCATTGGTTTGGCTTTTATTTTGTGTCCAGTGTAGCACAATTTTAGTAGATTTGATTATCCAACTGTTCTCTGCCATCACAAACCTTTATTTCGAATTTCTAAATATTTTAAAGTCTTCCATAATCATTATAAATGTGTATTTTCAATTTCTTGCCGTGAGATTTTCTAATTAACTGGAAAGTACACAGAGATATAAAGTGTGTTTGGAAAGCTTATCATAGATTCATGATCTGTTGAAGAGGTTTTTAAAATTTTTACTTGTTTTGTGGTGGTTGGAGTGCTCTATTTTCCTGTTTATATGTTTCTTGGTTGTACTTTGGTTGTGTAAATTGGAATTAAATGGTACTGTGAAGCAGAGGTTTTCTTGACTGATGTTCTTGGTTTATGGTTCATAGCCCAAGACAAGATTGCGGATTTTGAAATGAAGCTTATGGACATTGATAGTGAGCATCTTGGGATTCCAGAAACAGACTACCATGCTATTGTTAGGATGCCATCTGCGGAATTTGCTCGGATTTGCAGAGATCTTAGCAGCATTGGTGATACAAGTATGTTTTTCATTTCAATATCATTCTTGTGTTTTGGTTTGAGATATAATCTTTTGTGTAATATTGTTTCAAATTATGGTTGCAGTTGTTATCTCAGTGACAAAGGAAGGAGTGAAGTTCTCAACCAGAGGTGACATTGGAACTGCAAATGTGGTGTGCAGACAAAACACCACAGTAGACAAGGTAGGATGATTTTGCACTAAATTGCGATTGAGTGTTAGTAAACCCTGTCTTGTGATCTTAGCCTGCAAAGGGTTACAATTAAACCATCCTAGATTACTTATAGCTTACTTACTCAAACCGAAACCAATGGGGCAAGGATATGAACTTGTTATCTTGTGGTTACAAATATGAATCTCTTGTCATCTTGGCTGGGTTATCTTCATTTGCTTTGATCTCTTTGGATCGTTGTTTATTTGTTGAATCTAATTTGCATTGTTTGTTGGTTGAATCTAATTTGCAGCCAGAGGAGGCGACAGTTGTAGAGATGAATGAGCCGGTGTCGCTGACATTTGCTTTGAGGTACTTGAACTCTTTCACAAGAGCAACTCCATTGTCGAGCACGGTTACCCTCAGCTTGTCTTCGGAGCTTCCTGTTGTTGTTGAATACAAGATTGCTGAGATGGGACACATAAGGTTCTATCTGGCACCTAAGATTGAAGAGGATGAAGAGGATACTAAGCCTTGAGGAGCCTGCTCTTTGCAAAGCATAATCTTGTTGCATTATGCTAAATGTATGAATTTTAGGGATATTTTGGCATATTTTCATTTTCACAAGTAACTTTGTACTGTATTTGCAAAACTATTAAAATCGATGCAGCTAGCTTTCTTGACATATCTTTGCTCCAGCTTCAATTTTCAATTCAAAGGTAGTTTAGCACAAGTCATCAGCTCACAAATGGGGTTGAATTTAAATTTTGATCCCATATTAATTTCTAATTGACAAAAGTAGCCAAATAAATGATACAAAGTCATCAACATCTGATCAAAGAAAATTTTTTTGGTTCTGCACTCCTGTTTTGTGAGCCCTTTAAATCTTCACATTCTATTCAAGAATTGTTGGATGCAGTGACAAACATGCAAGCAAAGAACAACGGTTGCTTATGTATGAGCACAATTGCATTACTTTGACTTTGTTGACAGATGGGACAAAATTTGCTAGTATAAAACGATGAAGATGATCAACAGCGCCTCCAGTCCTGACCAACGTAAACTGCTTGTTCACCAAGCTCCTCTTCAATTCTAATCAACTGTGTGGAAACTGAAGGTTAGTCTTGTGATAGTATATATGCAATAAGGTGCTCTATGTTCAACTGTACATACATAATCACAAACAATAACGATGTGCTAAAATACCGAAAGCATTATATTTGAGAAAGCAGCAAGTGCAATGATTTACATAGAGTTCTGTAGAGAAACTCGAGTTTCATACTTCCATTCTCAACCATTCCTAAATATAACACATGCAGTGAATGCGATGGTTTCCAATTTTCCACTTGTACAAGTCTAGATGTCAACCCCTTGATACCAAACTTAGGCTCAATTATGCCTCGTACAATCATATTGTATTGTTTAGCAGCAAATGCCCCTATTATAAACATTGTATTATTCAGCAAACTGGCTTTCATTCTCAACCATTCCTAAATATAGTAATACTAGTGCAAAAATATATGCCCAATATTAATACTTAACGTTAAAATATTTTTTTAAATAATTGTGTGTGTGTGTGTGTGTGTGTATATATATATATATAATTGTATAATTCATATTAATATTAATGAAGTAAGAATTATAGAAATGATATATTACTAAATATAACTATGGTAATATTTAATTAAAAATTAAATAAAATCAAACTTACCATTGAAGAATGTAAGAAAAAGATATTGTGTATGCATGTGCATGGTAATAATAATGTGAAAAGATAATAGAAGTTATAACGGCAGGGATATTTTTGTCCAAAAAATTATGTAGTACAACATTTATAGCATAAGGTATAAAAAAAGTTAACAGAAAAAACGAACATAAAACCAGGGACATAACCTGGATTGAAACTTATTATGTTTTTAGATTTTTAGATTAGATTAGATAGTATATGCAGTGAATGCAATGATTTCCAATTTTCCACTTGTAATAGTCTAGACTAGATGTCAACCCCTTGTTACCAAACTCCAGGCTGTGTTATGCTATGTACAATCGTACTGTATTATTTAGCAGCAAACGCCCCTATTATGAAAATTGTTTTATGAGGCAAACTGGGCTTTCATTCTCAACCATTCATAAATATAAAATATGCAGTTATTGGCTTATTGCAATGATTTTCAAATTCCCACTTGTATTAATCTAGATGTCAACCCCTTGTTACCAAACTTCAGGCTCTATTATGCATTGTATGATCATACTGTATTATTCAGCAGCAAATGCCCCTATTCTGAACATTTTATTATCCTAAAATCTACAAGTTTTATATTGTACTTAAACTTCTTGCCTTTCTACCCCCTTCAATGTTTTATTCTCTGTGAACACATGAAGACAGTTTCCGAGAGATTAAACCTTAAATGAAAATCATTTGATGCTATGGAATCAAAGTCCAAACAAGGTGAGGCTAACATACAAACCTGATTGTACTTAGCCAGTCGCTCTCCACGGCAAGGCGCTCCTGCTTTAATCTGACCTGTGGCCATGCCAACAGATAAATCAGCTATGAAAGTGTCCTCAGTTTCACCACTTCTTTGGGATACCACCACTCCCCAATTGGCATCCTTAGCCATCTTCACTACTTCAATAGCTTCAGTCACAGTCCCAATCTGATTAACCTGTATACCAGCTCATCCATGTTACAAAAGGTGGATAAAACAAGTCCAATAAGGTTAAGCCATATCTGGTTATGTTCAATTGTGCCCTAGAGACATAAATATGTCAACTGCAACCTTTTATTATAAATTCAAACATCTATAAGCAGGTACCTTGAGAAGAAGGGCATTACACGCATTCTCCTGAATGGCTCTCTCAATTCGTTTAGGATTAGACATTAATAAGTCATCTCCAACTACCTGAAAGACAAAGTATGAAGAACAATGAAAAAATGGATGAGATTTCTATTTACACTTAACAGTATATAAGTACGATTGAAGTTTCGTAGAAGACTTCTTTCCTACTAACCTGGCATATTCCAAGGCCAGAAAAATATTTTGTATGTTCCCAGTCTTCTTTGTCAAACGGATCTTCAATTGATACAATCGGATAGCCTGAAGAACAACAGAAGAATGTAAATTGTAGTCAAAAAGGAAATGAGATATGTCCATCAATGGTAAATCATATGTATCTTCAGGTAAACAGAAAATGATCAAAATAGTTAATGCCTGGAGCTATCTTCATAGTCAATAGATAGTGATATACCTGTACAGAGTTCTCTGTACATCTCGACCATATTCTCTCCTGACTTAAAATTTTGCCCAGATCTATTTGGAGTTTTAAAATCCAAATCATACTTTGTGCCTACATTGATAAAATATTAACACAAGTTTGTCATTCAGCAATGGTTGTATAGATCATACAGGCAAAGAGGGGCGACTCCTGGAAAATCATTTGCAAGCTGGCTTGCACAGAAGTAAAACATTACCTATACAAAACTCAGTAGCAGCGGCATCAATAGCTATCTTGATTTTCTCATTGTATCCTGTTCTGCCTATGGCCTCCTGAACAAGGTCAAGGGCTTCTTTAAAGCTGCAAATACAATATACCAATATTAGCAACTTGCCTACAAAGATAAATCATGCAAGGTCAGAACTTGCCTCGATATGTTTGGAGCCAAACCACCATCTTCACCAACACTGCATCCATGCGCACCATATTTCTCTGTAATAACAGCCTGTCCTTTAAAACAACCAAAGGTGAATTCAACAACCATTATTGACTACAAACAGGTACACAGTCTTAAGATGTATTAATGTATTATTCACTAAAACTCCAAATATGTCAGATTAAAGAAAAAGGAAATAGTTTCATAAATATATTAATACACTCTAAACCATACAAATCTATTAGGACCACAGTTGGAAACAAATATAATTATGAAGGGAATGAATCCATAAGTAAAGAATAAAATTTGGACATCCATGAATCCAGATATTCCATTAATTTACAAATATAATTTATAACAGCATTGCCTGGGCATTATACTGAATTATCAGAAAACACAATGGAAAAGTAGTTAAGACCCAGATAATATAACATCTTGCAAAAATTAGGAATATAAATTTTTTTTAAATATGCAGTTCAAAATGTATCAGTGGCAACAGAAACATATCAAATGGAAAGATCAAGCAGATGTGTTATTATTTATGATTAAGTTCAGCAGATCCATAAAAACCCATTTGTTGATCAAGCAGATGTGTTATTTAGTCGAATTAAATTACCTTCAAATGATGATAGGTTTCAGAGCCCATTTGCAATGCCTCCTCAAATCGTTTTGCTCCCACTGGGAGAATCATGATTTCCTGAAGCATATTGAAATTGTCAGATAAGTTTAATAATACAACACAAAAAATTACTAGGAGCAATAGGGGTAGGGTGTACATCCAAAGATGACTAGAGCTTTGAAGAAGTGAATAATAGAGTGAAGCACCTATGACCTATATATTGGAAATAAATCAACTAAAAAATTTATCTCCTTCATTGAAAGTAGACAGATATTAGTTTATCTGTACTAAAAGGGTGAAGCACTATGACCTACCTGTACAGCCAAGTTGTTCCCAGCATGTTTTCCACCACTTATGAGAGTGAAGGCAGGAACAGGAAGAAGCAGATTGGTTTTTCCAGAAAGATCAGCAATGTGTTTATAAAGTGGAACCTGAAGATAAAGTAAAGTTAAATACTTCCAAAAATTTCAATGTTAGTTATTGAAATGCCAAACTAAAATGTGCATGCCTCTTTTTCAGCAGCTCCGGCTTTACAAGCAGCCATGGATACAGCTAAAATGGCATTTGCTCCAAGTTCACCCTGCAATCATGTACAAAGTAAAGAGACAGTGACATTAAATGCTACATTAGAAGCAATCCCCATCATCCAAAACTTTAAAGATACAAGGAATGAAAACAACAATTTAGATTTGATTTCATGTATAATCGAATAATCTAATACGGAGTAGCATTTAGACGGGTAGCATTCCTCTTCAGTCTTGTTCTTTGTCAATGATACACATACAGCTCTGTAATAACTTAGCTTATTAATAAGGTATTATTATGCCCCTTGCATAAGCAAATAAGCTACAAAGACCATATGAAACTAGAACCTTGATGGGAGGATAATGTCACCTTCTTCTCTGTCTTGTCCAAATCTATCATGGCCTGATCGATTTGAGACTGAAGTGTTGGATCCATACCAATCAAAGCTTCGGATATTTTTTCATTGATATTCTTCACAGCTCTGCTAACACCATTTCCAAGATACGTCCCTTTGTCTGCATCACGTAACTCAATAGCCTCATACCTGAATTTAAGTAACACTATAAGATCACACAATGTTGCTTCAATGACATACATGTAAATGAGTAAATCCAACCACAATCTGTATTACCAGTTACTGGTACTCGCAAATTAAGAATACATGAAATTTGAAGTGGAAAACTAATTAGTGACGCTTCCAATGGTCTGAACTACACTGCTTACACTTTTACAAATTACTCAAATTCTTGGCTGAAACTGCCTTCTTACAATGAAAACTACAGGATATACATTCTCATCATAATGAAATCAAATATTCAAAAAAAAAATAAAAAAGGAAGAAATACAGAAGACATACATTCCCAAGGAAGCACCGCTGGGGGCAGAAGCTCGAAACATGCCTTTATTTGTGTACAAATCGACTTCGACTGTAGGAATGCCTCTACTATCGAGAATTTGCCTCGCTTTCAGCTTCGTTATTACCGATGGCACGGATTTTCTCATATGATTAGACTGTAACCAGCGATACAAAAATCATCACCAAAAAAAAAAAAAAAAAAAGTTGCAAACGCAGCATGTATTCAAATTCAAATCAAAGGAAGGGGAAACTAGAGCATACGATGAAGAGGACAGGATCGGAAGTCTTTGCCCGGACGGCGGCATTAACGGCATCTTCGAGTTTCCGAGAAAGCATGTGCTTATCCAGATACTCTTGCACGGACATTTTCTCGGAGGTGGGAAGATTTGCAGAAGTGGAAGAGCTGAAGGTGAAGTTAATGAGTTATAGAGATGAGACTTAATTTTTTTTTTTTCTTTTTCTGATTTTTTTTGAAATTGAATCCGGGGACGAAGGGGCTACGGCCTGCAGGGATTTGGTTCGAGATCTGCACCTGTGACGACAAAGCCACGGTGCTTTTACGACTTTTGGCTCCTCACGGCGTCGTTTCAATATTTATTTGTTTGCATATTTCAAAACTCTATTGTACATACTCTCAAATTTTATTACCTTACTTTTACTCTCTAATGTGACAAACAATGATATGTTGCTTTCAAAAAAAAATAAAAAAATCAATGATATGTTATTTTCATCATGTGAGTTTAGAACTTGTGAGATGTAGTAAAAGTTGAGAGTATAAAAAGATAGTCTACTAAGAGCAACTCCAATAGGGTTTTTTGCTCAGTTGTTTAGGAAGAAAAAATCATGTGTTGTTTTTGAACAAATGGAGATTGTGATTTTTTTTTTTTTTTGTGGATATTTTTCTCCTGCAAATGAAGGTTCTTTATGGAGTCCATGGCATATGTGGAGAGAGGAAGAGACACAGTTTATCCGCGTGAAGAACACTGCCGCTCCCAGTATGGCGCGTGCATAGCACGCCCATCTGGGCGCATAAACAGTGCGATTTTTTTTTTCTTTTCTTCTCCATCCCATTTTCTCTTTCCTTGTTGGCACGGTAAAAAATCATCTAAAATCCTTCTTTATTGAGCTTGCTCTGAGAGCATCTCCAATAGTTTTGATTTTTTTTTTTTTTTTTTGTGGTTTTTGAGATACCAAATAGGAAAGAGAAAGGAGAGGGAAGAAGAAAAATAGAAGAAAAAAAAAAAGAAAAGAAAAACAAAATCTGACAGTCAAAACAAACAAAGAAATAAAAAAAAAAATTATTGTTTCCACGCGCCAGCTAAGCGCATTAGTGCGCCTAACGCGCTGCTACGGAAATGCTTCAAACTTTATAAATTTAAGTGGGCCCCACATAAAACTTTTACTTGCAAGAATTAAAACCATCCAAAAACCTATTCCCTCATTTGTTCAAAAATCACCACTAAGCTTTTAAGGTATGCAAAAATTCCTAATGGGGATGCTCTTGTATTTTTCATTTCTGAGTATCCCAATATGGGTTTTTTCTTGGCATTTTTATTGTTGGATGAGAAAGGTAGTGAGTTGGAGGGGAGAAAGATGAGCAAGAGAAAAAACAATTTGCAAGAAGAATGATATTTTATGAGGCCTAGAAGGAGAAGAAAAAAAAAAAAAAAAAAAAGTAACTCTTGGTGCACTTGTGGGGATAATTTTTTTCACCTGAAACTCTGAAAGTACTTTTTTTTCTTTTTTCTTTTTTCATGTTTTTCTCCCCCCTAACCATCTTATGTGGCTTGCAAAAAGTGAGCAAAAAAATCCAAGAATGCTCAACAACATGAGTTTTTATTCCAATTTTTTTTATGGACCCCATCATCTAACTCAGCATCTACTATCTCACCCAATCTTAAAAATCTTTCTTTCCAACTGTTTGAAATTTTTTTTTTTACAGTTTTTTAATGGACCTATCATTTTACACAAACTATATTTTAATTATTTCTTTATTTATTATCATTCTAAAAATTATAATTATAATTATTATTTATATTTAAATTAATATAATTGATAATTATAAATTTAATAACAAAATTAAATAAAGAAGTTGGTCATTGTATAGCAAAAATTTTAAAAAATTTAATAATAAAATTAAATTAAAAATGTTTTAAAATAAAAAAGAAATTGATTGTTACATAACAATGGCCAATAAAAAACAAACAAACAAAGATTAACATTCAAAGTGGCCGCCAACTGGCCATCACGTCTATTTTCCTTCTTTTGTTTTTTACCTTAAAAAATTCTTATTTGCAAGAGAAAACACACTAAAAAAAACCACCTTAACTGTTATAAAAAAAAAAAAAAAGTAAAAGACATTTTTGGTCCTAGACTTATAGTGGCTTGGACAATTTTAGTCCTTTATAAAAAATTTTGCCATTTTATGGACAGAGTTATTGTGGCGAGGACATTTTTGATCCTCCGTCTATATTTCTGTTAGATAACCGTATGAGAGAGGGACAATTACGTCAATTTAGGCTATCTCTTTATTGTGAGATGGACGATTTTGGTCCCACAACCATGCCTTTAATCTGACCCTCATTTATTTGTAGTTTTGCACTACGAAATGCTCTGCCCACAATCATGCCTTTACTGCAACTTGGACTCTCCGACTCCTTCGAATTATGACCGAGAAGAAAACAAAACACACATAGATATAATAGATAGAAGGAGATAGCCTAAATTGATGTAATTACCCCTCTCTCAGACGGTTATCTAACAAAAATATAGACGGATGACCAAAAATGTCCTCGCCACAATAACTCTGTCCATAAAATGACAAATTTTTTTTATAAAGAACTAAAATTGTCCAAGCCACTATAAGTCTAGGACCAAAAATGTCTTTTACTCAAAAAAATCCTAATTTTTACGTCTAAAAAAAAATCCCAAAGAACATCTCTTAGGGTTGCTCTTAGAGGAAAAACCACAAGTAGAGGCATCTATTTTTGTTTATATATTATTCCTAATGGTGGGTTTGATAATTTTTATTAATATTATGTTAGGCTTTAATGAAAAAAATAAATGAACAATTCCTGTTAAGTTGGTCAGACTATTAACTTGGTAACTATAAGGTTTTAGCAAAAAAATTTACACGAGGTCACATATAAAAATTAGTAATCAAGTTTATATATTTAGAAACTATATTAAAAAGTACTATAAAACACACAAAAAAAAACAATTTTAAAAATAATTTTAAAAAATACTAAAGAAAATAAGTACAGAAGAAATTATTGGTTTGACCAGTAAATAGTAAACATGACATATAAAATGAGATTGAGAAAGTATTACATTTTAGTTCTCTAATTAAAAATAAATAAATTGATAGCTAGTGACTTGAATGCTACTATCATGAAGATTTGAATGAAAAGCATTGTATATATGGTTCATCATTTTCATATTATTGAATTCATATATGTTCATATGAAAGGATAATTTCTATGTCAACCGTACCGGATGTCATTGCATCATTGGACTGCATATATTTAATTGACAATTTTCTAGAAGACACTATCTTTTTTGTTATTGTGTGAGTTTTGCTTAATTGAGATTTTTGTTGTTGTATCCAATAAAGAATTTGTGAATTCACAATGTAAAAAATTAAAACCCTAAATATGATGTTGCTAGGAAAAATGATCGATCCCTCTCTAAGCCTTTTCATGACACATTCATACTTGATAACCATACATTATACCTTTTAATCTTTCATCGAGCTACTAGAACTATATGCCTCAATGTGCCTCCTTTTCTTACAAACTATCCTAGGCAACATGGTGCTCAATTTAGGCTATGTTACCCTCTCTCCATTGAGTTACATGTCCAATTTGATATGCTCTATAGATTATCTAAGCTCACATGTATGGTCATTGTCATTGGACCATGCACACCCGACCTTGGGCCCTAACTTTGGATATCAAAACCCTCTCTTACTGGGTTCTTCCCTGATTGGGTTTTCTTGGGCCTTGGGTATGGGTCACGTTACCATATCTCCAACATTCTTAATTTTAGCTAGGGCTCATGTGCAAATAGGTTTCTATATGTGAGCATCCTCCCACTTGCATTTATTTTATATTTTTCTTTCCTAGATTTTCCCAGTTGTGATAACGTTATCATATCGGCGCAACATCCAGTATGTGAACAAGTCGAATGGGAAAGTGATGTCGGATTGGTCAAAGATCACAACATGTTTGATTTGATTCAGAGGAAATTGGAATTACCTTCTACGCAAATATGACGTGAAGATTGATGATGGAAGAAAAAAGAAAAGGTGAAAACCGATGATGGAAATAAAAAGGGAAATGCAGCAAAATCCCCAAATTAATGGATTGCGCGATGAGCGATGGCTATGGTTGGCGCTTGTAATTTTTTTATTTTTTTTTAATGGTGAAATTCCTCACGGTATTGGTTAGATTTTTGGAGCAAAAAAAGAGAAAAATATCTATTTTTTGGCTTCCTTATGCAACAAGCTTTCAATAGCAACAAACCCGTAATGGCGATGCGTTAGTGGTGGTTTGTGTAGACAAGTGTTATGGTGGTGAATTTTCAATATATCATAGGTAAAACATATCTTATGCAAATTCACTTAGTAAGAAATTAATAATTAAACCTATTTTTAATAAACAATTGTTTCAATAAAGTTTATTAGTGTACATTTGATGATGAGGTCATTAACCAATTGCAATAATTAACATTATCTCTTTGTTATTCTTTTGGCAAAAAAAATTGCAGAGGCATCAAAACCTGAATTTTGTAGTGGCTATCTAACTAGTTTGTGATGTCATTTTTTGGGAAAAAAAAAATCTCTATAATTTTTTATTTTCTTGATCATATGTTGATATAAGAATACGAAATGCATCAATTTTTTATGCGGCAATGACAATTGTACATATTTAACCATTTCTTGATCTAGTGTTAATTGGAGTGTCCATGGACATTAAGCAGCTTACGAAGTTTTCTCATTTTTTTTATTTATTTATTGTGGCCACCCTAAATTTCCAAAAACGACAACTACGAAAGAAAAAGTTAATCAAAATTCTGAAATTAACATTAGATTTTAAGATAAGTTTTAGTTAGTATATGATCAAATCAGTGTAATGAACTTGGGGCTGTTTCCCAATTTTAGGAGGAAAGATGGTCAATTTTAAATGCAGGAGAATGAAGATGAGGGAAATGACATCATTTGACATTGTTAGTTAAGTACTTGCAATTACTTTTTTATCCTTGGCTATTATTTTTGTTTTCAGCACTGTTGACAATTGATATGAAAAGTTTGTTTTTTGGTTAAGGGTGATTATTTCCTTGTGAAGAGATATATGTTGTTGTATGAAAGGGTATGTTTTTAATGCTAAAATTAATGAAAGTTATTCATTCAAGATCTATGTTCTTTGAATTTATCCTCTCATCTTCTCTGTTTCTCTCCTCAATTTCTTTGAATTTCTTTTACCCCTCCCCCTAACGGTTACATTTGGTATCAGATGCGCTAAGAGCTAATTTTCCACAGCAAGGCCACAAAACTTGGCGGAACAAGTTTGACACATGTAAGCTAGAATATTGGAGTTATAAGGGGAGATCGACAGTAGTCAGCCAAAAGTTAGGGATGCTGTTGACAATTATTTGCTCAAATGTCTAAGCTAATGGAAGCATTGAGACTCAATTGTTCATCCCCAACATTAATGTCTACTCCAAAGACAGCTTCGAGTGTACACGACAGAGGTAATCAAGCTCCTACACCACAAAGCTTTAATATCTTTGAATTTGGTGATTATAACCAAACACAATTTATGGGAGAAAACAAAACTCCTTCACAACCTCATCAAAACCAAACCCAGCCATCAAATCGACCCTTTAACCCTCATGCCCAACCAAGATCCTGAACAACCCCTCATTCACCCAAACCTACTGCAACAACCCCCCTCCCCCCAACCCATAAATACACCATGTTCATTATCACCACCAGACACATAATATAAGACCCAAAGTATGCTTCCATTAATTTGACTATGATAATCCTAGATTATGGGTGAAGAAATGTGAAAAGTACTTTCAAATGCATCAAATTCATATGAACTATTGAATGGATTATATTGTGTTTAATTTATCTAGGAATGCAAACACTTGTTTATAAGGGTATTTTGTGGACAATAGAGAGGGATTACATAAATTGTTTGAAAAGAGTTATGAGGTGCTTTTGTGAGGACAACTGGGCCAACTACTCTACTAGAAACATATTGGTTAGCCAAGTAATTTGAGGAAATAATGAAAACCACTGATTTCTTTCACAGAGTTCCTAATTAATATAAAATCATTGCTCGCAAATGAAGGCTCTAAGCTACTAACTGTTGGTCAAAGAAACCTTGAGTTACAAAGGCTTAGGGATTAAAGACTCTGTTTCTACTATAGGGAGAAGTGGTAGTAAGGTTACAAATGCAAAGCTAAGCCCATGACTACTTTTATGGAAGGGACTGTTGAGGGAGAAAAAACACTGGACCAACGTGAAAAAGAAACCCCAATTGATGAAGTGGTGAGTGATGAAGCAAAGGTAACTCCGCATGCTATTGTGGGAGGAGAAGGAATGTATACCATCAAGCTATGGAGTAAGGTGAACAAGAAAGACCCAGTGATCTTGGCAGATATTGAGAGCACCCATAGCTTCTTAGATTTTTTGATTGTTTATCGACTTAAAATGACAATTCAAATGACTCACCCTATGTTTGTTATAGTGGTTAATGGGGAGAAAATGCAATTTGATGAGGTCTATAAGAGCTTCAAGTGGAGCATATAAAGAGAATAATTTGAGAGGGATTTCAGATTGTTGAGAATGGGTGGATGTGATATGGTATTGGGCATGGATGATATTGAAAATTGTGCTCCTATCTAACTACATACCATGCCTCCAAGTATAACCTTTAGTAAGGAGGGAAAATGGGTTTCACATATGAGTATTGCTAGGGATATCAGGATTAGAGAGGTAAGTAAAAGGATGCCACTAAGTACAGTGGGAAAAGGGGGGAACTAGTGGATTCCTCTTACAATGCATAACCAGACTATAACCTAAGCAAGGTAAGGGAAAGTATTTTGTAGGGGAAATTAATTTGATCATTGGGATGTCTATAATTGAGGTAAGCATAGATTCATAATTGAAGGAACTATTGCAAGAGTATTCTAACATTTTTGTAGAGCCAAAAACCCTTCCTCCTAGCAAAGAATGTGATCCTGAGATTCCAATGTTACCAATTCCAAGCTTGTTAACATGAGAACTTATAGATACTCCTATGATAAGAAGAATGCCATTGAAAACATGGTGGAGGAGATGTTACAAACTGGGGTTATGACACCCATCACTTCACCATTTGTTTCTCCAATGATTTTAATTTGGTCCCTAAAAAGACTAATCCTAGAGATTTTTTTTTTTTTTTTTTCTTTTGGAGATTATAGAGACCTCAATGATATAATAGTGAAGAATTAGTTTATCATTCCTATCGCTGAAGACATACCCTCTAAATTGGCAGGGGCAAGATACTTTACTAAAATATATTTAAGGGCTGGCTATCATCATATAATAATGAAGGTTGGCGAGAAATATATATATATATATATATATATATATATATATATATATATATATATATATATATATATATATATATATATATATATATATATATATATAAAGACAACTTTCAGAACTCCTCAAGGCAAATATAGGTTAGGGTGATGCCATTTAGACTTACCAATCATCCAACTACTTTATTGGCATTAATAAATAGGGTTTTCAAGTCATTTAAAAAAAATCAGTTTTGATCGATTTTCTTTAATGACATTTTGGTTTACAATGACATAATGAGCAGTCATATTGAGCATGCTAGGGAAGTCGTACACTATGAGGGGACACCAACTCTTTACTATAATGAGCAAGTGTTCTTTTGCTCAAAGTATTGATAGAATACCTAGGGCACATAATTTCAATTAAGGGAATTCAGACCCCCTTTTCTAAATTGGAATTTATTGTAGCATGGCCTAAACCATAGACAATTAGGGGGTGTTTGGTTCAAGTTATATAATATAACTAAGGTTATATTTACTTGGGGAATATAAGATTTTCAGGTTTAGTTCAGGTTATGTAATTTTTTCAGGGAATGTCATATAACCCCCATATTAAGTTTTTAGCTATTGAAAGAGATTGTAAGATAGCCTCTAATTTTTTTTTAGGTAATCTCACATTCCATTGTCTTATTACTAATTTTGAGCTTTTGACATTTTAATCAAAATCGAACCACTACCCGCTATCCCAATTCAAGAAAAATCTGCCGCGGCACGTCAGCTGGGTAGCGTTAGGGTTAAAATAAGCAAACGCACACACTGCAACGGCGTTTCTTCTTAAACGCACACACAAAAACGTCGTTAATAGCTGTCCAGTGAGAATCGAAACGGATCACCTCGCTCTCTCTCCTAGTCTCGGTAAAACCTCACACAAACAGACCCCTTCTAATTTTACCGGACCGTTCTCTCTGCAATTCGCTAGCTGGACTTCATCGTCTCCGAAAACCCTAGTAAGATTTTATATACGAACATCTTATTTGATGTTTGTGGTTCCGTGTGAATGTATCGAGTTATTTGTGGTGCAATGGATTTTTGTGATCTCACTATTTGGTTCAAGATTGAAACCATTTTATGAAAAATTAGTGTTTTTTACAATCTATGTTCTTGATAGGTTTTTCCATCTTCTTTTGCTTCTTTTGACGATGAATCTTGCAAGTGTATCGTCGTTGAGACGCTACCGCATTTTCCAATCCTTTGGAATGTGTGAATCATTTCGCTGATATTCTGAGTTGTCCTGGTGACTAGTGACTTCTGTTATCCTATGCCCATTTTAAAAGGGTGAATTGCACGGGAGACTATTAGTCTGATTTGTTGTGGCTAAATTCTTGAGCAATGATGATAGCTAACTTGTATAGGCGTGCACTTGGAATGACTACAGAAGCAAGGATGAACTTTTTTTTTGCAGTTTTATATCATTTTTCAGATGTTTTCCTTGATAGTCCTAGAGCTCAGGCACTGGCATTTTATCCGAAATTGGCATGGAACTTTGGAAGTTCAGAAACTTTCTAGTCTACTCTGTGATTCCCTAGTCAATCAATGAGCATACTTTATCACAAAATTAATGTGTTGTTCCCTTGTAATTTATGGGGCTGCAGTTAACTTTTGATGTTTTGATACCTCTCTTTCTAAGTGAGGTTCAGATGAATATGTAATAATTTGAATTTATGAAGGTTTTTCTATGATTCAGTGTGTGCAACTCAACTGTTTGTCAACTACGCCCTTAATTCTCTAGCTGGATCTTCTTGTTATTTTCATGTGATTTTAATGGTCTTTCATTTTCAGGTTTCACTTTGCAGTTCTGTAGCCACCTATAAATCCTAGCCATACACTTGGATGTGTCTTGGGGAACTGACTCCTGAACTGACATGGGCTTTGATATTGAGTGCATAATTGACATCCATACTTATCCTGGGGAGTATTTTTGTCCAGTTTGCCGAACTCTTGTCTACCCAAATGAAGCACTACAGTCACAATGCACTCATCTCTATTGCAAAGCTTGTTTGCCACTTGTTTCTAATGGGAGCAAGGCCTGTCCATATGATGGGTACTTAGTGCTTGAAGCAGATTCCAAGGTTAGGTTATTCTGCCAATATCCTCTTCTCTCCCTGGCAAAATCCCTGCTGTTCCCCTTGGACATTCTAAAATATTTCCTTATCATGGCAGCCTCTTATTGAATCAAACAAGACACTTGCTGAGAGCATAGGCAAAGTCAAAGTGCGCTGTCTCTTTCATAAAAGTGGATGCACATGGGAGGGCATTTTATCTGAGTGTACCTCTCATTGTTCAGGGTGTGCTTTTGGGAATTCACCAGTTATCTGCAACAGATGCGGAGTGCAAATTGTGCATCGACAAGTGCATGAGCATGCTCAGAGTTGTCCTGTGAGTATAGTAAGGCACATTTTTTCATATGCTCACATAATCTTTTGTGAAGGATTAGTTATATGTTCAAATTTGAAATCTGCAGGGTGTATATCAAGTGCAACAGACAGCAGAAGTTAATTCTAACTCTCAGTCTGGAGCACCAGCTACTAGTACTGCAGGTGCTGACCAGAATCGACAAGCTGCTCAACCTGGACCATTAGCTTCTCAGGTTCAGAATCCACAAACTACTGCTGCTCCTCAGCTTCCTGGGCAAGATCTCAATCAGCAAACTAATACCAACTCTCAGGCTCCAGCTGCTGTGGCAACTCCTGAACAGTGGTACCAACAACAGTACCAGCAATACTATCAGCAGTATGCTGGATATGACCCTTATCAGCAGTCTTATCAACAGTACTATCCTTATCAACAAGGCATGCAACAATATCAGCAACAACCCTCGCATGTGCAAGGGCAACCCCAGCCTCAAGTTTATACCCAACCTCAGGCTCAGTCCCAGGCACAATCGCAACCTCATTCCCAGGCACAACCTCAACTGCCGGCTCAATCTCAGCCTCAAGCCCAAGTTCCAACACAAGTGCAGGTCCAACCACATCCACACATTCAACCGTCAGCTACACAGCATCAGAACCAAAGTCAAATGAACCCACAACAACAATTTCAATCTCCTGTACAATCTCATGCCCAAGTTCCATCACAGTCTTATCCACCTGTTCATGGTCAGCCTCCTCAGCCCTACTCTGTGCAGCCACATCCACAACATATGCAGGTCTCTCATTATCAGCAGCCTTCTGCACAAATGCATAATGCCCAGCCTCCAGTCTTACCCCAACCACATTCACAAGTCCAACCACAACTAAGCATGCGCCCTCCTCAGTCCAGCCAGCCTGCAGTTCCCAATGTCCAGCCTCAGACCCTACATCCTACACCTCATCCTGTCACAGGACACCAGTCCTACCCACAACCTCAACCTGCACATCAAATGCCAGTGGGGGCTGTGGCTAGTGGGTCTTTCCCTTCTGTTCAAGCCCAAGGTCAGATTCTGCAGCAACGGCCAATGATGCACCCTCCACCTGCTCCTAATGCCAATCAACAACAGGGTATGTTGGCTCCTCAAGGTCAAGTTCTTCCTCAGCAATCCCATCTTTACCCTAATACTCAACATCCAGGCGCTCCAATTCAGTCACGTCCTCCTCAAGCAATTCAACAACTGGTGCCTCAGCAGCCTTTTGCTGGTCCATTCCCAAGCCATTCACACCAGCAAGGTCCCTATGGGCAGCAGCAACAGTCTCACTTACATCCACCTGGTCCTCCTCATATGGTACCTCAAAGTTCTCATGCTTCTGTCCAGTCACAGCCAAATGTTGCTTTAGGGCCTGGTATGCATCCTCAACCACCGCAAAATTATTTTGGAAGACCAGTAATGCAAAATCAAGGGTTGCAGCTTCAGCCAGTGCCTCTTGCTCCTAGTGGGTCTGGTATTGCACCTCCAGTTCGCACAATGCAACATGGTTTAAACCAACCACCAATTAGTCAAAGTTATGCAAACTCTGTGAATAACCAGCTTCAAATTTCTACAGATCAAAAGAAACCTGTAGTGCATGAAAGCCAACCTGACCCCTCATCTGTGAAACCTGAAAGTAGTGCAGAAGTCACCATAACTTCCCAAAGCAATGCTGACAAGGATGCCACTGTTCTTGAAACTGAATCATTTGAAACTAATGGTACAAAACTGGAAACAGGCTTGAGTAGTGAACAAGATGCAGCAAAGGAGTGTGCTAAAACTGAGCACCCTGAAAAGGGCAATTCTAATGACCCTGTAATGAAGCAAACTGTTAAGGAAGAGCATACTGAGAATGCTTTGGAGCTGTCTTCTGGAGCCAAATCAGCTGATGCTGAAGTTGTGATAGAGAGAGCTTCCTTTGGGAGAGTGCCTGGTCATTTTCCCCTGTCTAGAGGCATTGACACACAGTCTAATACTTCTCAGGGATTCCCTTTGAATGCTTTACCTTCTGGCTCAACTGAAATTCGAGATGGAATGGGAAGAGCATCCCTAACTGGTCCTGAAGGTCGCTTTGGCCCACAGCATGCACCTTTAAATGTTCCTGAAGGTCACTTTGGGCAGCAGCATATGTCTAATCCAATGGAAGCTGAAATGTTTCAGAACAGAAGGATGAATGGCTTTGATAGAGGACTGCCATATCATACTGAAGCATCTCGTGATGAAAGGTTGAAAGTCACAGGTGGGGAGCCCCCAGGAGCTTTTCCGGTAGAACCACGTTGGCCTATTGATCAAGGTGAATTTAGAAGAATCCTTTATTTATTTCCTTCTTTCTTAAAAATTTTACTTGTTAATTACCATGGATGCTCAAATCCTGATAATTTAAATCCTCTTTGGTTTGCTATTGTAGCTGTACCAGGTCCTCTTGACAAGGTGCCTCGTGGGTTTGGCTATGATGGTAATGCTGTTGCACCATCTAGATTACCATCCTCATATCACCCTCCTGGTGCTCCATACATTAATAACAGTGCAGAAAGAGAAGTGCGACATGGTCTTCTTAATGATGAGAGAAGAAATGCTGATTTTGTTCACAGGCATTCTGACTTTATGGGACCAGGCCCTGGATTTGGTCCGCGGCACATGGATCGCTTGACACCTAGAAGTCCTGACAGAGAATTCTTTGGCATCCCACCACGTGGATATCTTCCTCGTGGTCGTGCAGGATTTGATGATGTTGACGGCAGAGAAGCACAAACATTTGCTGGAGGGTCCAGACCTTTTGGCCTTCCTACTAATCCAGTTAGTAACTCATTTCATGAAGACAGGTTCCATGCTTTGCATCGTCACCCACAGGGAGATGCCGTCAATGAGCATGTGGCAGTTGGTCCTCCCCATAACCACTTCAGGGGAGGTGAGCTCTTTGGGAATGATGTGCCCAGTCATTTGAGAATGGTTGATCCTTTGGGTCCTCGGAATTTACCAAGTCATTTGCATGTGGGAGAGCCTGCAGGTTTTGGTCCATTTCCAGGTCCTGGAAATTTGTCTCATCTACCTTTTAGTGAATCATTTGGGGGCAACAAGCCAGGTATGCCGCGTCTTGGGGAGCCTGGTTTTAGGAGCAGATATTCTCTCCACAGAGTTTCTAATGAAGGAACTTATATGGCAAGTCTTGTCATCTTCTGAATCTTGCTTTTATCTGAATTTTTACCTATTGGATGTTAGTTAATTTAATGGGAACTTTAGTTTGAAAATCATGTAGTTATCATTGGTATATATATATTATGATATTTTCCTGTCACATGTATCCTTTCAGGGTGATGTTGACTCCTTTGATAGATCAAGGAAGAGGGCTTCTTTTAGCATGGGTTGGTGTCGCATTTGCAAGGTTGACTGTGAAACTGTGGAGGGCTTGGATATGCATTCACAAACAAGAGAGCACCAGAATATGTCTATGGATATGGTTAGAAATATCAAGGAACAGAACAGAAAGAGACAGTAGTGAGTAATATTTTGATTCATAATTCTGCTATGTTTCACAGAGTATGCAGACATTCTTTCCTGACTTTAATTTTGCAGGAATCGTGCAGCAGTTGAAGAGGGAGGGAAGAAAAGAAATGCTGCTTTTGAGGGTTGTGGTAACAAGCCTTGAGTCTAACAGCATTTGCAGGGATTAAAATGTGGTTTGCCTTTCCATGCCTTTCTTCCATCACTGGGGTATTTTATCCTAGTTTTGTCATTTCAGGTTGCTGGCCCTGTTTTGGGAGATGGTTTTGGAACTCACATTCTGTTGCAGTTAAGTTTGTTTTGTTTACAACTTTGAGATCATTACTTATGTTGGGACAGTTTTTGTCAGCTTATTATAGTTCAGCTGTACTGCACCTCTGCTGATGGAGTTTGAGTTTATATTATGACAAAATGTGTTTGCTTTATCATGTCGTTTGAATCATGTCAGAGTTCCTAAACAAATTTGAACAAATTAAACTTGCTATGGTCACATTCACTTTGATAATATTAGCAGCCTACTGCAACCCTCTTCCTCAAAGAGATGGAAAAAGACGAGTGAAGTTGGATGCCACCGATTAGATAATATATGGGATACATTGTGGAGATGAATTTGGCTGTTTTATGATTTAAAGAGAATATAATCAATATATTATAAGAGATTTCCTAATACTGAATAGTTTACCAATTAACCTTGACTTGGAAAGAGCTAGGCAGTCTGGGAAAAATGTAGACTAGCAAATCGCACTTGTTAGGAACTAAGCTTGGGATGCTAATATTTGCTATTTTGATGAGTGTCAAATCTAATTAAAATTACATTAGAGTTTAATGGATGCAACAGTTCTATCTTGGATTCTATAGTTGCTCTCTCCGCCTAAAAATGAGAGGAGAGAAATAAGGATCATTTTCTTCCAATCCCTATGTGCACTAGTTAGCAATGTGTTTGGAGTGAAAGCTATTTGCTTATGGAATTCTTGATTTATACTTATTTGGTCAATTTAGAAGATTGTTTCAATTTTCATCCTTTTGGAATAAAACTAAAACTATTTATTCATTAAAGGTACCCTATGGAATTCTTGATTTATACTTATTGTGGTCAACTCAGAAGATTGGTCCAATTTTCATGCTTTTGGAATAAAACTAAAGCTATTGATTAATTAAAGGGACCCTGTTTTGGTCAATTTACGAGCTATCTTTTCTGTGCTAAAAAAACGGTCGCTACACTTGTTTTAAGTGGGTATATTGCAGAGTTTGGATTAGAAGAACACTAAGCTTTGACAATTAAAGAGAACCAGTTTTGTTATCCAAATATTTCCTAGTCCTAGTTAATTTGAAAAATTCCTGGTGCACTGTTTTGGCTGAATCAATTAGAAGATGCTAGCTCGAGGATAATTTACTCCTTCAGCTTCAGCTATATTTATCTTTGGTTGTTGGGGAAGATTTGTGGGCTGTCTTTGTTGCTCCTATTGTTGCTTAAGTTCTAAATGATATGAAGCTAATATTTTCTTGTTGGTGGATGCTATCTTTCAAGTTTTCTGAAGTAATAGCTATGAGGAGGTGTCAGTAAATGAAGGGAAATATACATACACATACCCCTTGTGATTGAGAGGAATTTACAATTAATGTTATTCACTAGTCATTTTTCCTTGCCGATTAACTATATCCTTGGAATGTTTAGTTTTCATATTAGCAGCCCCCCTTACTTTTCAGTCTTATGAAATATCATGAGAACAAAGACTTTGGGTATTGACTCTGTTTTGGAGTTGGCATTTAGTTCTTTCTTGACATTTGAACTTGCCTGTAGCATTACTATCTGTTAAGGTGTTTAAATACAGTTTGATATATATTAGGATTTTAACTTTAACTTCTGGAATGAGTGGCTAACTTCAATGTTCATTTGTTGTGTGTTTTTATCCTAATCTTCTTTTCGGTGAGGAGGAGAGGGGAGTTAGTTGGGTTGAGCTGTAAAAACAAGACTAGTGGTTTTCTCGCACTCTTTTTACACTAGTGGTACAGCTTTTTACCATGGTATGTTTATTGTGTCAAGCTATTAAAAATGGGACCTAATGTGAAGTCTTGGTTCTTCTGGATTTTGAATAAAGGGTTCATCTGGAAATTTAGACATAAGTCATTTTCCAAATTTTCTAGTGTTTGGTTACCAAAGGAAAATGAAATCAACGGGAAATACTTATTCTAGTCAAAAGAAAATGACCCATTTTGATGGACTAAGAAGAAATTTTCCAATTCACTCTCTTAAGCTCAACTCTCTCTCTCCCTGAGTGGTGTCAAATGTGTGGGCTGGCCCACTTTATCCCCGATTACTCTTTGAACTGGACTGGGTTGGCCAGGTTAAAATTTGGGCCAAGCCTGCCAGGCCGAAGGATAAAAATATTGGCCTGGCATAGCCCACAGCCCAAAAACTTTTTTTTTTTTTTTTTTCCTTAAATTTCTGTAGTTCATAGTTATTACATTTATCAATTTATATATTTATTTTTATTATAATAAGATACAACTTAAAATTAATTATTTACATTTTAAAATTATAGTTATTGTTAATCTTTATAACTAATGAACTATATAAACATTTATTTATAACTTCATTTTAATCATTTTAATATAAACAAAATCATAATATAAAAACAAGGATACAAAGTTTGAACTCTTAAAAAATAACAATTATTATCATCATTAAAATAATTAAAATTTTATAAGAAATAATTTTGTAATAGATTTCCGTTCATTGTTTGGAAAATGAACCAAACAAAAAAAAAACAGTTTTTTATTTTTTATTTTTTTATTTTATATATATATATATACTTTCAACAAGTAGAAAAAAACTTTTAACCAAACACTAGAAAATGAAAATGTTTTTTGGAAAATGAGCCATTTTCCAGAAATTCCAGATTTTTTTTTTTTTTTTTTTTTTTGGAAAATGAGCCATTTTCTAGAAATCGTTTTTTTTTTTTTTTTTTTGGATTTCCAATCAGACCCTATATGAATACTATTCCCATCCTAGTTGGCGTTACCCACATTCTTTTTAGTCCATCCTGAAGTGTTGTTACATTTCGACCACTATGCATAACTATACTCTTGATTTCCTTGCCACACCAGAGAGTAGAAATGTACGCATTTAGGACAACTATCAAATTGAAATTTAATTGAAGTAGTGGAAATCCACTTGAAGTTCTCAAAACATGAAAATGCTAATCTTACTATTAGATCAGACTAATAGTGATTTCAATAATCACAAATCCATATGGTTCTAGCTATAACTGTATTTATATAGGATTATAGCATAGTACATACCATTTCAGTGTGGAATAATACTTGGTACACGTACATGACATTCAGGTGTAAATGGTTATTAGAAATACAAGTTGAATATGTTCTCTTCCACTATGAGCTACACGTGGATTGACTTGAGAAAACCAGTTCTTGATGTTCCTAATAGCCAACCAAAATATGTTGAGTTACCATACCTCCACATCATGGGCTGTTTAATGCTGTTGAGATGGTGAGGTACTATTAGTCTATTACATACCTCCCACATCAGATACTTGTTGAATGAGTGAAGTGCTGAGGATTTACAAAAAACCATGATGATGCATAGTCTAATTGGTCAAGAGAACTCTGAATATGATATTTTTAAGCTTGAATTTTAGTGGTTAACAAAGAAGTTTCTGATGCACCTTGTTCAAGCTTCCTACTATATAGAAGTTTATTTTTTTAAAAACTGTACTTAGATGCTACAGTTGCTATTTTTGATTGCTTACCACATCAACATGCTACGTTTTTACCAGGCTTTGCAACTTTCTTTTCTTTTGCATGTCAGACATGTGTATTCATGTTTGTCTTTTTGAAGAATATCCTATAGATCATATTGCATGTCAGACATGGGCAAAGTTTCTAATCCTTTAACAGTTGATGTTAATTTTTTTGTGTTATATGTTTTGAAGTTAATACTTCTTTTGTGGTTGAAAATCTTTTATAATAGATCTTTTCGATTGAACCTGCCTTTTTTGGGTGATGCTGAAAAGAGAAAAGGATGACTTCAACCGAGAAAACTCACATTTTTGTTGGGTGGTAAGGATATGTTTGATGCACTAATTTTTGTCAATTGGTATATAAGTCAATGTAGCACTTTAATTTTAATCAGTAGTCTGCTGGTGATTCTTACTTCTTTTTTTTTTTTTTTTTTTGGCTATAGAAGTAGTTTGACTACCTGACATTCTAAGTTGACAACTTGTTAGTTCTGTATTGATCCAAATGCATTATACTTCTAGCCTTAAAGCTGTTATAGTTTGCAATTTGAGTTGCTGTAGTTCACATTGTACCAACTACCAAGCAATGACATGGCTAATTGGGAGTGCCTTTGTTTATATATCTCTCTAGGTTATGAGATTCCATGTAGCTTTCTTAAACTGAAGCCATAGGTGCATTACCATAAATGTTAGAGAAAGAGAAAAGAAAAGTTGTGACTTCAGAAAAAATTTAGGGGGTGTGGCACCCAAACTTTATCTTTGTTTATAGATACATTTCAAATGAACCCTGTAGCATGTTTAGAATTGCCTAATAGGATCATACAAAGTACACGGTAAACAATTCAACATTTTGTGTAGGGCTTTTAAATAATGGGCTAGTTGTAGGATGTAGCACGTCTATGCTGCTTGCAACATTTGTACAATTTTGAAACAATTCAACATTTTGTGTAGGGCTTTTAAATAATGGGCTAGTTGTAGAATGTAGCACGTCTATGGTGCTTGCAACATTTGTACAATTTTGTTTAGGGCAATGAATTTTTGTAGGTGATAATTACACTATATTAGATGACTATGACTTCTTGTTTGTTGAAATTTAATGTCTAACTACTTAACTACTACATAGTTGCCTTTAAAAAAAAAACTACTACATAGCTGATAATATAATTAAGGAAAAAGGTTCAAATTAGCCATCAAACTACACGTAATAGTGTAATTTGGCTATCCAACTAAAAAAAAGTGCAATTAGGTTCTTGAACTATCCAAAATTACGCAATTCGATCAAATTTGACATGTTCTTCAGGTCATCGTTGACGTGACGGTCATCCTATTAAAAATTTATTATTTTTTAATTTATTATAATAAATTTAAATAAAATAAAAATAGAGAAAAGAAAACCCCACCCCCCCTTCCTGTCTTCGTCTCCTAAGAAAACTCCACCCCCCTTATCGTCTTCGTCTCTGACCTGGAGACGAAGAAACATCTTCGTCTTTGGCCGGGAGACGAAGAAACATCTTCGTCTTTGGCCTGGCGACGAAGAAACATCTTCGTCTTTGGCCTGGCGACGAAGAAAATGTTTCGTCTCTGGCCGGAGATGAAGACGGGGAGGGGGTGGTTTTTTTTTAATTTTTTAATAATAATAAATATAAATTTAATAAAATAAAATTATTAAAATAATTTAAAATTAATCATTTTTAATAGGATGACCGCCATGCTAGCAATAACTTGATGAACATGTCAAATTTGGTCAAATTGCATAATTTTAGACCGTTCAGGAACGTAATTGCACTTTTTTTATAGTTGGATGGCCCAATTGCACTTTTGCGTGTAGTTCCCTGACTAATTTAAACATTTTTCCTTTAATTAATGGAAAGTTTGGCATTGGTGATGTTGCATACAAATAATGTGTAACAAACAATGCATTTTGTTATTGATATGCCTTCATTTGAAGGATATGCCTGTTCCTAGAACAGACCATGTTCACCTGTGAAATGTCACACACATCTATTGTATTATTGGTGGATCTTTGAGTTCATTAGTCCACTTATCTTGGAATTTGTTGGAGAAATCTGAATGTGAGTGGATTTTCTTTATACATAATATTTTTTTGGTGAGTGATGTGTGGTGTTGGGAGGAGAAGTGAGTGATGCCGTGATGGGATCCTTATTGACTTGCATATTTTTTTCCTCCTCTCTTGATCCTCCGTTTGTCCTTTGGAAAAATGAGAGATGGTCTTGGGCTTTTTAGCAAATATATATAGACTCAAGTCTGTTTCATTAATTGTCTTTAAGAAAAATTGGATTCTTGTTCTTCTATGACAGTAATTAGATTATCTAGAAGGAACATTTATTCCCATTTCAGATTTTAGAGATAGGATTCTATATCCCTAGGATACCATGTCACTTGATATCCCAACCAATTACATTTCAACATTTCATTGATTTTCGGAGAGAAGAATTTAATATTTCATTTAGCCAATGGATCTTTTCCTCTATGAAAATCAATGAAATATTGAAATGACAGTAATTAGATTATCTAGAAGGAACATTTATTCCCATTTCAGATTTTAGAGATAGGATTCTATATCCCTAGAATACCATGTCACTTGATATCCCAACCAATTACATTTCAACATTTCATTGATATTCGGAGAGAGAAGAATTTAATATTTCATTTAGTCAATGGATCTTTTTCTCTATGAAAATCAATGAAATATTGAAATGTGATTGGTTGGGATACTAAGTGACATGGTATCCCGGAGATATACAATCCTATCTTATTGCAAGTAGTGGGTGACTGGGTGCAAGTCTCACCATAATTTAGAATTCTGCCTTTGAGGTTAGTCAAAAGATTATTAAGCCGTTGATTGCCTCTGGTCTTTGACATATATTGGTCTCTCTGGTGTGTAGTTTCTGTTCCATATAAATTTGCATGCCGATCTCCCTTGTAAGTTCTTTGTAGGATGTGATGAAGGCTATATCTATGGTGGGCAATTTTTGTGATGCACCCTTTGGTTCACAGCTCGATATCAAAGACAATTGCAATGTGTGGTCACCAGGGTAATTTGGCTTTCTTTTCGCACTTTTTTTTTTTTCTTCCTTTTGTATTGGGGGTGATATGGCTCTGCGTGCATCATATTCAGTGATTGAGCAAATTATATTATGCACCCCGGCCGGGTTCATATTGTAAGATGGACCCTGATACATGTTTATACAATTTTAGTGTATACAAGTTCAAAATGTATACTAAAAATAAACTTTTATTAGGGGTTCATATTGTAAGATGGCCCCGCTCCAGAATATAACCATTGTACATTGGCAAAATACTGAATCTTGCAGATTTACAGAATTCTATAGTTGTAATAGAAAAAACAGTTAAATGCATTTTCATATCTTACAGTGACAACCCTCAAATGACCCCATTCCTTCTCTCTGTCAGTTACACAGTAAATAAATAAATAAATAAAATGTAATATAATATATTAGGTCTTTGGAGGAAATTTATTAAATACTTGGTTTAACAAATGGTTATTAAATGACTTTTCTTTTAAAAAAAAATGTATATCGACATATTTTGGTTCCTTTCAACAACAAATAGAAAATGGAGTGCACACTCAATGAACCAATTTGTATGCAATGTGAGAATCGTACTTTAGACCCAAATGATATATGATATATTTATAAAATTTGGGACATCAAAGTTTTTGTTATTGTCATCATCAACTAGGGATAGACGTACAAAACAAAAGTTCTAATTAAATTAGACTGAATATTTTGCTTTGACGTTTTTATTAAATTAAAAATAAAAACTAACACTTGTTTTGCTTTAATTTCAAACTAAGTTGAAAGTTATAGTATATTTTCATATGAATCTTGAGTAAATGTGTGCTCATATATTCCAGTAATACAGAGAAGAAGGGGAATGTAGAGAATCGTGAACCTAGAATCTATCATCTCATTAGATCACCGGCAAAATACAGGTACAACATGGGTAATACATGATCTGAGAAATTAGGGTAATAGCCACATTAATTAATATATTTACAACAAAAGTAACTTTAAATTTTGTATACAACTTATTTAATAAAAATAAAATTCAACTTTTACAACTTCCCACTCAAACTATTTATTATATAAAATCTAATAATTATTATGGTAAATAATAGCTCAATAAATATGACAACTATATATATATATATATATATATATATATATATATATATATATATATATATATATATATATATATATATATATATATATATATATATATATATATATGGCAAAAGGGTCTAATAGGTCCATGTACTAACCACGATTGTTCATCTAGCACCATGAATTAAAATATGGTGCATCGAGGTTATTATATTCTAAATTTTTTTCATCTAGTATTTTTAACCCTTTTCTAACAAGTAACTCATCTAATTTGCTGACATGGAAAAATAAAATAAAAATAAAATGCGGATATGTTATTTTTTTCATCTAACTTGCTATTTTTGTCACTTTTTCTGCAGAAAAATTCAAATTTTTTTTTACGTATTTCCGGATTATGTTAATTTTTGATATGGCTTGAAAGATTCCACTCCTCTGTTGCGAGTGTTGAGTGTGAAAACACGTAAGGGTATTTTAAGCGTAATGCGTCCATGCTGTTGTTACCATAAATTTTCCCTGCGATTAGGACTGTCAAAGTGAGTTGAAGCCCGTGAGGCGAGATAGGGTCATGGAAAAATAGGCCCGCGAAAATGCGGGCCTAATGGGGCGGGCTGAAATTGCCCCACAACCCGCTAACCCGCGCGGACTGCGGGCGAAGTAATTAAATACTCCAATTTTAAACCTAATCCACCCAGCATGTGTTATGTTTTTTTTTTTTTTTGCATTTCAAATGCAATATTGTTTTGTTTTTAGTTAATACGTCCATCTGCTGCACCAAATTTTTTTTTAAAAAAAACATAATATAGCGTAGAATTATACTGCATAAATTTTGTTACTATTGCTACCTCTGCAAACATTATAATACGAAGAGTTTAATTTAAATTATAAATTATGCTGTAGAAATTTTTAGTCCTACAGGAGATTCCTAATAATTTTCTTTTCTTTGGGGTCAATAATAGAATCTCCAGTATTTGTAGACTACTAGACTTCACTTAATTTTTTTTTGAACTTTAAAGAGAGAGAGAGAAAAAAAATCGTGGCCCGGCCCGCGGGGCCCGCAACCCGCACGGGACGAGTTAGGGTTGCATGAATCTTAGCCCGTGGGCCTAACGGGCCCGCCCGCAAAAGTCCGTCAGAAACTAGTCCCGCGATGGGGCGGGCCGGCCCGCTTTGACAGTACTGCCTGCAACAATGTGTATTTTTGTCGTGGAGGGATACCCCATCACCTTCAGAAACATGACCGCTTCCCTCGGGGACATAGGACAGCCTCCAATCTTCTTTCTTCGGTGTTTATCTCTTTCTCTTTCCAATGCTACACATTATACCTCATAATGCGAAGTTCCTCAGCTTCTACTTCAGTCAGATTGTGGCTGCAACCAATAAACACAAGCATGTCCTTTTAGTATTCACACTTAAAGGAAGTCAGTTAATTAAGTTACACCTAAAACATTAAATCAAAAATCATGTTAGTTATTATATCTCAAATGATGAGCAATATACAGATCATCATTGTCCCTTAGTCTATTAACCAGTTTTTTTCCAAGTTCTTCAATCTCAGGTGTGTACCGAAGAGCCTCATAAACGCACCATCAACAACCAAAATCAAAACCAAAACCAATGCCAATAAATGGGTTCAAAAACCACAAAAGCGGTAACATACTTATTTCACAGCTGACGGGAAAAATAGATTCACTATTTTTTGAAAAATTCGTAGAAGAAATCATCATAATCTGGAAATACGTTAAAAATGATTTTTTTTTCAAAAAAAAAAAAAGTAACAAAAATAGCAAGTTAGATGAAAAAATAACATGTCAGCATTTTGTTTTTATTTTATTTTTTCATGTCAGCAAATTAGATGGGTTACTTGTTAGAAAAAAGCTAAAAATGCTAGATGAAAAATAATGTGGAGTATAGCCTAGATGGACGATATTTTAATTCATAGTGTTGGATGAACAATCAGTGTTAGTACAATATATATATATATATATATATATATATATATATATATATATATATATATATATATATATATATATATATATATATATATATATATATATGGTAGGGAATATCCCGACCGACATAAGCTCCACCACGACCGGATTGCCTTTGTCTTTGTCTTTCTGTCTTTGCAGGTAACAGGTCGGGCTTTTATGAAGAACCCGGTCGGGAATGGCCCGAGCATCGGTGTCGACCGCCGAGCGGTAGCCCTTTGGCAAGAAGAGCTGACAAAAGGACACGTGGCGGCTCTTTACGACGACAGACAGGGCACCCGGGAGGATGACACGTGGTGGCTACGTGGAGGACATGCCGAACGGCTGGAATCCTGTCCCCGGCATAGCGGTTATAAATACCCACAGTAGCTACAGTATAAGGGACTTTTGGACGATCGATAGGTTGTTACTAGAGAATCCCGACCGCAGCCAGTCGGTACTCAGAGCAACCAAGTAGATTGTACTTAGGGCCTTTACCGTGATCAATAAAATCTTTTACTTGCTTTAATTGGTCTCGGGTTTATTTTATATTGCTCGCGTAGAATTAGCAGTATCATTTTGGCGCCGTCCGTGGGGACCCGTGCGAGAAAGCAACGTTTTGACGAGCACCGCTCCCTTTCCAATCATGTATCCGTGGGCTCAAAACAACTTCGCCGACGACCAGGCGGATGCAGCTAGCTCATCTGGGCACCACGCCACCCAACAACAGGGTCAAACGGTAGAGCTGAATCTCAATCTCTCACCACCACATCCATCTAACACATACCCGGTCGCCCAACAACCGGTGAACTACATACAACCGGGATACCCAACACCCAGTCAGCCATATCAGCAGCAGCCGATGATGTATCCTGGTCAATATCCATACCCGGCCCCACCTCCACCGTACGGGTATTGGCCTGGCCAACCGATGTACTACACTCCCCCGGTTGGTTATCCACCATATACGCCTGCTTACACAGCTCCAGCCGCCGCCCCTCCAGTACAGCCGACCGCACAGGTAGAGCCGCAGCGTCGATCAGCCTCTCAGGCTCGACGCTCGGCTCATTCGCGGTTGGGGTCGGGGGGTGCTGATGCAATGGAGGCACCAGCGCAGGCCCAGCAAGCGGTCGAGGTTCCCGTCCAAGCGGAGGACCCCGAAGAAACTGCCCGAGCGGCAGCCTTTGATCGCCTTCGACCGGAGATGCGCCAGCGTTTGGGACTCCAAGACCCGAACCGCAGGCAAGAAGATGTACAGATGCAGGAGGCTAGCCAGGAGGCCTCATCTGGGTATAGCGGGTCGAGATCTCACCGACGGCGACGCGCTCGGGATACGGCCCAAGCTGCTCAAGCCGCCGAGCTCAACGAGACCCGAGGATTACTCTATAACCTCCAGGCGGAATTTGCGCAGTTCAGAAATGCGCACCCTGCAGCAACCCCGGTTGGACAACCGACCCTACACCAGACGCCTTTCACAGCGGCAGTAATGGCTCAGCCTTACCCGCTCGATTTAAAAGTCTCTGGAGAGAAGAGTTATGATGGCCGGTCAGACCCTGAGGCTCACGTCAACGATTTCTACAGCAATATGACGCTGAAGGGTGTGTCGGATGCCGTGATGTGCAGGGCTTTCTATTCCACGCTTACCGGTCGAGCGGCGGAGTGGTTCCGAACTCTACAGCCGGGTTCGATCGACAGGTTTGACACCCTGGCGGTTAAGTTTGTGAGGAAGTTCATAACTTCCAAAGTGGTGAGGAAGCCTTATATGTATCTGGAGAAGGCCAAGCAACTTGAAGGCGAGAGCTTGACCGACTTCCTCACCAAATGGAAGGCGGCGGTCGGGGAGGTAGAGCCCATGGACGATGCCACCGCCACCCACATGTTACACATCTCTCTCCGAGCGGGGTATTTATATCAGGACTTCATTTTACACCCCCCGGCCACGTATGAGGAGGCCCTTCGAAGGGTCACAGATTATGCCAACGCTGGCGAGGCGAACGCTGTAAAGCGCTCGCAGGAGGTCGGGTCTTCATCTCGTAAACCGGCCGGCCGGGCGGAACACCGATCGGATGATGACCACCCCCGATCCCGCACCAGGACTGGTGAGTTTACGGCCTTGAACCGATCCGCAGCGGAGGCCATGCAGTATGCCCAGTCATGCAACCTCATCAAGCTTCCCCATCCCGATCGAGATGGCCCTGACAAGAGTAAGCATTGCGCTTACCATCGATGTGCTGGGCATGACACTGAAGAGTGTACCCACTTGCTCC